TTATTAGTCTTACATAGCTCTCATTACTAGGCAAGTACACTGCATGGTTGCTTTAGAATTTGACACCCCATGCTTATATATGACCTATATGGTTCAGGTCAGATAGAGATGTGGAGGAATGATAAGCCAATGTGTAAATTAATTGTCTCCTGTTAATGAAATAATTTCAACCCACGTGTTATTTTTACGCCCATGGGGAGGAACTTACATAAGAAGAAAACGATTTTTGCCTTTTTTTGGCATAGAGAAGCCATTAGCAAGGGACCAAAAAATGATTGAGTTAGACAACAGTACATAAATTTTAGTCAAAGTGAATATATAAGTGACTCCAACTCCAGTAACAATATGCTATCATGGTGGATATAGCCTAAAAGATGGCTACAGTTAGAATTCCAATGTGTCCACTAAAATGGAACTTAGGAATGTTATCTCTAGAGACAGACTTTTACAGTGGTCAGGTTCTGAGTTTCATAATCAGGATACAAAGTTGATAATAAATATCAAATTTTCTATGTTCCTAATCAGTGCTCGTATTAGGCAGTGTGTATTTTAAAAAGAACACTCAAGAGTGTACTAATTTCAGCTAACCACAAGTGTATCAATAGTCTAATGATCTGTCCAACATATTCAGAATATAACTAAAATTCTCACTACAAAAAATGTGGTTTGCAAAAATTATCCAAAGGATATAGAGTACATAGTTGCCCATAAGACTTTTCATCTTGAACTATGACAACTTTTAAGTAACTTAGACGTTAGAGAAACAAATTCAATTAATTTGAATAACTTGGAATTTCTTTTGTGAAACACTGAAATTTAAAGAAAGATAAAGAATATAGATTCAAGTTGAAAAATCATTACAGACTGTCTTAGGATTTCTATTGCGATGAGGAGAAACCACCACCATGGTAACTCTGGCAAAGGAAAACTTTTAATTGTGACTGGCTCACAGTTTCAGAGACTTAGTCCATTATTGTCATGGCTGGACACATGGCAATGCACAGATAGACATGGTGCTGGAGCAGACAGCAGGAAGTGGATGTCACATTATATCTGGTTTGAGCATTTGAGGCCTCAAAACCTGCACCTAGCATGGAACTTCCTCCAACAGAGCCAAGCCTACTCTAATAAGGTCACACCTCCTAATTGTGCCACTCCCTGAACCTATGGGGGCCATTTTCTTTCAAATCACCATACAGACCTAAGATGCTAACATGTCAAAGCATCAAAATGGGAATGATATGGACATATTCACATAGGAGGCTTTCTTCAATACAAGGCTTAATGAAATATAAGTCATGGAAAGGATATTTTAGTGAGGTATTTCTAATTAACAGAAATCACCTAATTGCAACTTTCTGCCAAAAGTTGTTTATTAGCTTTAAGATTTGAGTTTTGTAATAAAGATTAGGAATTGAATTTCATATCATACTCATGTTTTCTTTTTAATAAGCTGAGGTCACATTCATGTGGAGGAGAATCACACGGGAGTTCAGCAATTGCCCTCTTTGTTACAGAAGGCTTTGCAAGCTGCCTTCTTGTTTTACCCACTGTCTTACTTTCATTTCCTGTTGCTGTAATTAAAAAAATACTGTGACAAAGGCAATTTTGAAAAGAAAGCATTTTTTTAGCTCATAATTCCAGGCTAAATTCATCGTTGGGCAAATGTAAAGCAGCTAGTCAAATCTGCTTGAAAGCAGAGAAAGAATGAACACATGCATACTTGCTGAGCTCAGTTCTCTTTCACCACCCTTGTCCAGAACAGTCCCTATCTAGAAAATGGTGCCATAAAAAAGCTTCCCACTGATTGAGACGATCGCTCACAGATCTGTACAATCCCATATCAAGACTATTTCGAGGTAATTCCAAATTGTGTCAAGACAATGATACGAAAAGTTGCTGTCACATTCACATATTCATTTAGATGTCTAACCTGACCCATATAAACACATGAGCTCAAAACCCTTTTTGTATCTCCAGACAAATTTTATTAGTGAAGGACATATTAGCAGAGGGCATTACTGTCCAGGGCATCATTAGAAAGGTTCATTATTCTTATTCCATTTAGTTATCATCTATTTAACAGGAAGATGTAGACTAATAATGCAAAATTCTTGAATCAAATCAAAGGATAAAAAATCAGATTTTTTCACTGAAGTCATATTCAATTACAGATCTGGAGAGATATATCTTATCTCATGATAAGAGAGAAAGCTGACAAAATACTGATAAATTTTAAATAAATAAATTGCAAATAATATTAATTATATAAAGGATCTCAAAAGATGAGTGATTTAAACAGGATAGGTCATTGGTGCAACCATATAAAATTTATTACTGAGAAGTGAAAAGTGAAGTAAAGATAAAAGATTGTTTTATGAAGTATCAAGCATTTGATGACATTTAAGAAGGCACTTAGAATGGATGGACACAAGGGAAGAGAGACATTACAGAGTTAGATGAAGAGAGGAGAGAACATAGGCAAAATAAAATTTTGGTAGAAATTAGCTGAATTTGTCTCCCCCAAAGAATATTTGCTACATAATTACCTCTTGTTTACTCATCAGAACTGTTTGAATACAGATGAATTGATGATGCTCTACCCTTCCTAAGGATCTATGGGCAAAGACAGCTCACTGGTTAAAGAACACAGATAAATCAACTTGGAAATGAACAGGATACTCTTTCTCTGCTGACTAGCATCCATAGTATCATAGGGTACTATAAAAGATGCTGATGGGGAAAACCATATCAGTAGTTTCATCCAACTATAGCTATGCTTGATATTCCCATTGGTACAATAGTAGTACAGCTGTAGTGAGGGTTCCCAACTGCTTTGTGATTGAATAGGACGCCCATTCCATTGGAATAATACACATCTGGTTCTGTAAAGCTAGTCAAAGCCTTGGGTTGGGAAGGTCATGAGCCCCAGAAATGAAAACACTACTGTGTTCCTTTAAATAAATATGTTGTCAAATGTCCTTCTAAAGGTACTATCAGTCTGGATCAAGGAAGTTCCTTTCTAAACAGGGTTACAATGTTTGTACTTATATCTAATAAATAAATGACCACTGTGTGTTGGATCCTAACTGGGACATCTATATTCTTCCCCATTAAAGACCCAGGGAATATGGAAGAAGAGGACATAGAAAGCATATAAGAAGTCACCATGAATCACTGCCACCACAGGAACACATAGACAGCAGGGAATACCTGCACAAGACAGTGCCTTAAATGTCATGTAAGAGGGTAACTCAACCTTTCTAAGGAGCTGTTGACTGTTAACTATTGCTACAGAAGGGGGATTATTTTATTCAATGGAGTATCCATTTGGGGAGACAAATTAGGAAGAGGGGATTTAGAGAAAATCTAAATGAGGGCAACGATGGATGAATATAATCCCAATATACATACAAATGATACATACATATACATGAAACTGTTAAAAATAAAAACTTTTCTTCAAAAGATACTAGAAAGAATGCAACTTGGATTTTATTAACACAAATTCTGATATCAGAACAAAACTTGGTGAAATTTTCATAGCATTGTACTCTCTAGGAAGGTATATTCAACTACAAAATCCTCCTTATTTGGCACCTAACTCTGTGACAATAAACTACAAAAGACCATCTTTTGATTTCCAATCATGATTTATTTTCCAACATTTGACTCATGATTTCAGTTGCAAATGATTAGAAAGGTTTCTGGAGTTTGTTTTCTTTGCTTTTGTTTTGTTTTTTAAATTTCATTTTCTCTGTGGAAATAACACTGTTATCTACAGAAGAGGATGATCTTTGAACCACTGAAATTACCCAGGAACAGTCTATAGAGCCCTACATACATTAAATAATCCAAGAAAAGACAAATGAAGCTATGATTTTTGTGGACTTCAGTCTAGGGATAAAGTGCTCACTGCATCCTTTTGGGAACACACTATACATGCTTTCCTCCAGTTTTGAAACTGGGAAAAAAATCTAATGGCAAATGCATGCTCATCAGATAAGGAACAAACAAACAGAGTAAAAGACAAATGAAGAGTTTGTGTAGTTCATTCTCAATTTTCCTCCAGTGGTACAGCCTGATTTAGATGACTGTAGAGATACCCTAGTTTCATTACCGTAGCTGTAAAAAGAAGCAGAGTAAAATCTGCCATCCAACTGTGACACTAAAATAAAAATTTCTTTTTTATAGTACTTTTAGATGAATGCTTATAATTTTAAAACGATAATCTAATCAGAGTAAATTTTATCCCGCTACTATAGATACAACAATAAATTTTTGGTTGTCTCTTCAAGTCTGCATATACATATGCATGAGAAACTCAAAAGTCTCTATTTATTGATAAGGAAATACATTGCTTATTGGAAGACAACGGCCCCCAAAATATTTGGCATGCATTCTGTAAAATGTGTATCACGTAACCAACTTGGCTTCCCTTCCATATGATTCAGGAAGAATCTCAAGTTCTTGCCAAGTCTCAAAAGCTAAATTGAATTGAAAAAGCAAAGTTGCCCTGATTTTAAAGTATACCTCCACTAACCCAGTCTTCAGAGTTTTCCCGTAGTGAATTCAGGTGTCTGTGTCCCTGTCTTCACCAAAAATAACAGTGATAACAGTCACTAGAGTTGACCGTACTTATGGTACAGGTTTAAAGATTTCAAATTCCTTAGTCAGCCACCTTCTTCTGATTCCAAAGAAAACTTGTCTGTGGTAAGATTAGGAGTCCTACTTCTCTTGTTTGAGTTATACAGAGAGACTTCACTTAAGAAACACAAAGTTAAAATGTGCTCTGATTAAGATCACAGATATATATTAGAAACTTACTCAATCCCACAGTCAATATGAACAGTTCACAAATCCAGTTGGAACTTGGTGAATGCAACAGCCAAAGATCTTACTGCGGGCCCCGACAAGAAGGGTCTATTTTACTAGAAGCTCAATTTTTCAGTTAATTGTATAGCACTTAAACAAAACCTGTGCACATGTGATCCACTTACCCCTGCAAGGCTTTCTCTCCAAACCAGTCTCCCTTCCCCAAAGTTCTAAGAAAGACTGGGTCTTCACTGGGTGAGTCTTCCCGAGTAACGTTCACCTACAAAGAGAGATGAATGTCTAACTCAGCTGCATGATTGCAAGCAAATCTCATAGTTTCCCAGGAATTTATTCAAATATTTCATCTCCTTTTAAAAAATAATACATTGTTAAGAAATAAGAATTTCACTTAATATTCACTGCTACTCTTGATTTTATTACCTTCAGTGAAGCAACTATCCTGATGAATTTAATGATGTATCCTGTCAGTATTATTCCATTTTTTCAATGGTGTTTCCTTGTTGTTTGGGGAAAATACAATTACTCTAAATAATATCTTTACACTCATTCACTTCTTTGAGGTATAGTAGTAATAATAATAATGCCTACCATCCAGAAAGGTTGACTAATTAAAATTCACCTACCTGAAAAAGGCAGTGAAGTAGGAAACTAATTTATTGAGACAATGTCAAGCACTTAAACACATTAAAAACAGCATGCTTTAGGCTTCTTAACCTAGACATTGGGCATCAATGAGGAGAACTTTTATTACCATTAGGAAGGTTTGTGCAAGGTAGAGGGAATTCAATTATTATTCTCCACTGATCCATTTGATTACTCTTCTACATGGTGTTTCAAACCGTGAAAATTCAGTTTTAACTGTCAGTCACCACTAAGCTATATCATAGAGACACTAATTTGCATGTTGATGAGGCTTTTATAGATGAAGCAGTTGCAGTGGGGAGTCTTATTTAAAGTAAAAGTAACTGGTTCCATACTCTCAGGGGTTCTGATTCATTCATGTTAATATAAGCAGCTCAAACTCATTTCCTCTATTTGCATTGCATCCTATTACATAAATAGTATGCAGCTTAGCAATTCCCTAGATGCAAATAAAGCTCCTAGTTTTATTCTTATGCATTGTTGTTATGATATTATTAACAAAATATCTACAAATATGCCTGTACTTGTTTTCTGGCACCAATAAATAAGGGTTTCAGTAGGGTCAATGCTCACACAAATAAAGAACAAGTATGGACCAAACATGTTGAGTTTTTCAGATGTTGACTCTGAGTACAAATATCTACTTTCACTATCCATGAATGAAAGTTCATATATATTGTCTTGTAATTAGCACTTATCATTGTAAGGTTGCTAGTCTTCTAGGAAAGTGGGGATTAGAGAGAACTGTCCTGAAGCTAATAGAAAAGGAGCAATTTTTCAGATTATATTTAGTTTGTATGATTATATCCAACTATCCTTTTGACTATTTTTCTGTTGTATTGCCTTGCTGTAAACATTGATGGACATGTTTCTTTAGAACTACACTTTCAGTCCTCTAGGATAAATAAAGTACTAGGCTGCTGAATAATATGTAAACATGTATTAACTTTTTAAGCAGACAATTTTTTTCAGAATATATTAATTTTGCAGTCTTAGCCAACAATGTCTTTGAATTCTAGTTGCTTCACCTTTCACTAGAATTTGGTATAGTCAACATTTCCCTCACATTTAGACACTATTAAACATATAGTTGTGTCTCAGCTTCATTGTTAAGAGTTACTTTTTATTTATTTCTAATGATGTGTCATGGAAATGGGTATGTGGGGGTGAGGAGTATGTGTACATGACAGCAGGTGATTATAGAAGTCAGAAGCATAGGATCCCTTCAAGATGAAATACAGAATCACCGGGTACCAAACACTTGTCCACTCCAGGAACAGTATGTTCTTTTGACACCTGTACCATCTCCCCAGCCCCATATCTCAGGGCTTTGATTTGAAATTTAATAATCCTGCTCAATTTTGGAACATTTCATTTACAGAGAGACAGGATATTGATGCAACACTGTTGGGGGCATTTGCAAAATTCTTTGATGCTTCTTCCCTCTGCTGAAAATGCCATGTTCCCAGGAAACAAAATCTACCAACTAATAAGCAGAGGATGAATTTACTTTCAAAGTTGGAAATTGCTGCTGCAAGCATTAAGCCCCAAATTTTAGAGAAAAAAATAACCTGTAAATTTCCATATAAAAAGTTTATATTGTTTCTCTTTTGTGTGCATACATTTACTGGGAGAATAAAACATGGTTACAGTTATATAAATAGAACTGAACATGGGGAAATACATTTGTATCTCTGCAGCCACTGTTTTGCGCCTCCTCCCATGTCATAGCATTTTTTAAAAAGAAAGCTTCTGTTCAGCACTGTTGTGGTTTGAAGATGAATAGTCTTATGTGTTTGGGTATTGATCTCTAACTGGTGGAACTATTTGGGAAGGATTAGGAGGTGTGATGTTGTTGGAGGGGATGTGTCACGAGGTTCAGGCTAGAAGTTTCAAAAGACTCAGGCATTTCCAGATGTCTCTTGGTTTCTCTGCCTCCTACTTGCAGTTGTGTCTGCAAACTCTCAAGTGTTCATACTGCCACACATTTGCTCTGCCACCACAGAATTTAACCCTCTGAAACCATAAGCCCCAAGTTAAATGTCTTCTTTTATTCATTACTTTGACCATAGTGTTTTATCATAGCAATAGATAAGTAACTAAGACAAATGTTAAAGAAGGCATCTTAACTAGGACTTGTGTGAGGGCTCGGTGAGTAGAGCAGTCTGATGACATGGATTCAAACCTGGGAACACATCATGGAAGGAGAGAGCCAACACCTGCAAACTGTCCTCTGGTGCACAAACAATAACACACACACACACACACACACACACACACACACACACACACAAAGTGATACATGTACCCCCCTTCAAACATGCATTCACAAAATAAACAAAAATCCAGTAATTTTTTGGAAAAATCCTTTACAAGGGTTACTTTATATAAATTTTACAAATCCATGGGAAAGTTTTACGTTGGTTTATCTACAATAAATATGTTTATAACTAGTTTATTGACAATTCTAATTTCATAGCTTACTTACTGTGAAACCACTATTTTCTTTCCTATTCCATACAGTGGAGTGTATACCATCTGTTTCTTACACTGATATTAATGTATCATTATCAAAATTAATATAATGAATGTAACAACTGTCAGAGTTGTGAAAAATAGCAACTAACTTGTGTGACCCTAGAAACGAAGAAAAAAAATCTATAGTTGGTTTATAGAAACACTTGACTGTTTCAAAGGAATCTAATATATTATGACTATTACTCTCCCAAAATTCTAACATTGCACCAAAGTACTGCCAAAGTAATTGGCTCCTGTGGTATTATCTCCAAGTGGTTCTATTTATACATGTTATAGAACTCATAAAGCAGTACCATTAGCATACCTGTTTTCCAGCTAAAATGGGTTGCAACCCTCTTCCTTCAGGCAATACTGGCAATTTTCAGTAAATGGGACAGTCATACATGACTGTAGGGTGTCCTTCCTAATTGTTAAGTATAGCTACTCCTTGGTAGCTAACAATTAAAATTTGGAGAGATAACAAAGTCAGACTCCAGAACACACTTTCCTCCTGTGATCATCAAATGGTTTATAAACAAGAGTATTTTCTTTGCCTAATTCTTTAATCAGTGTTAGTTAACATAGAAGACAGTGAGTGACAAAGCTTGTCAGTTTGCTATGTTAATCACAGCATATTAGCAATTCATGGCCACTAACAATGGAAAATGCAAAATATGATTTTAAACATAACTGTGTTTGCACATGTCATTTCATTTTTTCCTTCATTAAAATATTATAATTTATTTATTTACTTATTTTGTATGCATGTGTGTATACAGATGGATATGCATCTGTCACAGTGCCAAAGAGTCCAAATGGAGGTCAGAGGACACTTGCAGTAGTTGATTTTCTCTTTCTACCATGTGGGTCTTGGGTATTGAACTCAGGTCGTTAGACCTGGTTACAAGCACATTGGACATTTTCCTGTTGAACCCTTTTCACTGGCCCCTTATGCTGTCCTTTATGAAAGCAGTCCATTATGTGCATTTCTCTATTGTATCTACTCATTCGGTTGGTATCTACACCTCCAGATATCAACCGAATGAGTAAATACAATAGAAACACATAAGATTTGTGTGTGGGCTGTCATTATTGTAAACATTGAGATATATGTAATCTTTATCTAAAGTTAGTACACAAGAGTCACCTAAAATTTAAGTCACTAAAATTTAGAGTCTTCTATACTTCCTGTTGATAGCATTTCTGTAAGCCTTTTGATATAAATTCTGCAGTAAATTTAGTCATTTGGTGCAATATGTAAGAAACAAGTTGACTAATTATAATAGAAAAAAGGCATGTAAGTCTTATCTATTTGCCTTTCCCTTCCTGTCTCTCAAAGAACCTGATACATAGAAAAAACCAAACTCTCTTTAAGAATAACTACAATAGTCGGGAATTGGTGGCGCATGCCTTTAATCCCAGCACGCGGGAGGCAGAGTCAGGCAGATCTTTGTGAGTTCGAGGTCAGCCTGGTCTACAGAGTGAGTTCCAGGACAGTCTCCAAAACAATACAGAGAAACCCTACAATAAAATGTTAAGTTCAAGTGTTTGTGTAATATGAGGTTAGAGGATTTGTTTAAGTTTACTTAATTTCATAGTCCAAAAGTAAGTATTATAATATCTTCACATTATTTCAAAGCTAAAATTATATAAGAAGACAGTATGATTTTCCATTCATAACATTGGTCATACCTGCTTTTATCACTCCTCCTATAATTTACTACATTTACTAACTTTTGGCATTCAAGTAACACTCTCCATGAAGCTACAATACAACTTACATATATTTATATCAGCATTCCTTTAGAACATTAAATTACTGACCTAAAAGGAGTAAAATAAGTTAACGTTAGAGAATATTCAAATTGGGGTCATCAATTCTGAAGCCCAACATTTCATTATAAGAAGGTCACTGTTTTTAAAGGCCAGGCAGACTTAAGTGTTACATTGTATAACTTTGTTTATTGATATCTTTCTGTTTATGCAGACTTAGAGGTAGCATCAAGTAACACGGCTGCTAATATCCAGACACAAAGTTACCCGCTTTCTTTATTTGCATCCTATTTTGGAAGCTTGACTCTCATATAAAAAAGGAGCAATTCACACAGCTCAAGACTCAGAACATGCATTCTTGCAACATACTGCTCAAACTTACCTTTCCTTTGCTAATGATGAAGAAGGTGTCTCCTCTTGCACCCTGCCTGATGATATATTCTCCATTTTCATAGTGGGTCTGAAAAATAAGAACAGTGATATTAAAAAGACATTAAAGAAATCACATGCCAAACAGAGCATGTTTTCAAACACCAGACCCTAAGGATGCATTTGTGCTTACAGAATTCTACCCATGTTCAGAATGTATCATGGTTTAAGAATGGGTAACAATCGATCAACCCAGAAAGGACTATCATGTCTATAACATTCATTTATGAACCTGTGGTGAGTGTCATTTTCTTCAGTGATTATGTTTGTATCTTTAAGTTCATTATTTCAATTGTTGAACAAAACTTGTTTTATCAACTAAACATGAAGTAAAACATCACTGATAACTAAGCTCATATTTGGGTATTATCTTGTCATTTTCATTTGTTTTTAGTAGTTTCATAACAGCGATCTTTAAAAAAATAAAGAAATTACTGTGACATCCCAAGATTCTCACTTAAATCCAGAGCATCCTTTAGTGGAGGTTAGAAGTCTCTAAATACTTTTAAGGTGCCACTTCATCCCTTAATATCTTTACTTGAGCAATTTACATTTGGCCTCATTAAAGAGACCATTTTAATTTTGTGATCTGAATTGTAGCTCTGGATCTTTATGCATAAACTGCCAGATGGGGAGGGAAGTAAAGCTGGAAGAGAATTATCATAGTCAGTGGGCCAGCATCCTGAGGAAGAGTTCAACACTAGATCTGTTCCCAGAGTGAAGATTACTCCTGCAGTGAACAAAACTAATTCCATAAGGAGAGGTGGGAGAAAATGTATTGCTTGGTCAGGAGGCAAAAATGAGTCCATGCCATCTGGCCCTATGCTCCTCTGCAGCTTAAGAAGGGAGTCATTGGAAAGGAAGATATTACCTTGCACACTACTTCATGGTATACACAAAATATCCATTACACTGCTGGCTGTAATTTCTCTTCATATGTCAGCACTATTTTTCTTAATGGTCATTCTATTCTGTTTTAAAGTTGCCTTTCATTAATACTTGCCATTGAAAGACACCATTCTTTTCTCTAAGTTCCTAGAACATCAACACAGCATTGAACTTACTAGTTCTCACTCAGACATAATTTATTTTCCTAGCCACAAGTTTTCTAAGTAATGAAGTTCTTTCTTATTCCTTTTCCCAATCTCAAATAAAAGATGGCACAAACAATCTGGGTGTGTGCCTTTAAAGACTATTTTTCTATGTTCACGCACAAATAAATATACACATGTAAGTACACACACACACACACACACACACACACACACACACGAATAATTGAGTCCTGGGATTGGAGAGATGGCTTAGTGGTTATAAGTGCATATGACTCTTGTAGAGGAATCTAGTTTGATCTGTAGCAACCAGATCAGGCAGCTCACAATTACATCTGTAACTAGCTCCAGGGACATCTACCCAAATTTCTAAGTAAAATTGTGTGTGTGTGTGTGTGTGTGTGTGTGTGTGTGTGTGACAACTGGTTTTCTCCATTTAATAAGAATGCTGGTTTAGTTTTCATATCTTGGTGTTCTCTGTTGCTTCTCCAGGGAATGCTCTTCTCCCATCCAAGAGAAGCATGATCCTGTCTGTACTTCTGTGATATAATAGGAAAATTTGATCCATTATATTGCTCAGTTTTGAAAGTCTGTTCATCTCTCACACCTAACAAATATCCCCTAGCCCAAACTCTATTAGCAAGAATGGTAAAACATTTTATCATCATTTATCACAAACTTCATCTTATTTGTCACTTAGTTTCTAAGAAAAGATTAATCAAAATACACAAAGTAACACAGTTTGTATAACTCTATGACAGACATAAGTACAAGACTTATACAAAAGCTGTATTGGAGAAACATCTTTCTTCTCAGAAGGAGGCCTTTGTTCCAATTAGAGAATCAGAACAAGATCTCTGGATGGTTAAGCAGGAAAGAGCCACTCAGGAATATGAGAACTCACAGCCCATAATAGTTATATAAGACTAGTAAGAAGCTGGGTGATGGTGTATGAACCATCTGAGTATCTTAGTATTGTTTGTTCTGAACTTCTCTTAAGGTGGCACTCATAATTGCCATATGTATTATTTGAATTCACTTGTAAAGACTTTCACAGGACATGTGTTTCTAGGCCACATAATCTCATAAGACATAAGGGTTCAAAATTGACCCTACTGGGTGGCGACTGAGGCTAGGTTTGGAAAAGGTAACAACACTACAGTGTCACAACACGAGGGCTATAATGACCATGTTATCCTGAAATGTTCAGTTGCACTTGAGGAGGAGGAGGAGGCATGCTCATTCTTTGAAAATTTCTCTAATTATGTGAAACAAATGCTGGAAAAATTAGTGTTTTACAAAGACTATTTTGTAGTTCTTCCTTTGGCAAATTTCAAATTAAATCTCAAACATACTGATCTAAGAGAGGGCAGGAACAACTAGACAGTTTCCATTAAGAATGCTTCCATATTCAATAGAATAAAACCCAACCCCTTATTGTGACCTGTACTACTGAAAATGGTCTTCTCATTGCTGCAGTTTCTAACTCCTTGTCACTTTTTCCCACTTGGACCACCAACCTATGTTGGGGAAGTCTTATGCTAATAAAGCACTGTCTGGCCAATAGGAATCTAGATAGGTGGGGCTAGGAATACAGGAGGATTCTGGGTAGGAGAAACACAGGAGAGTCAACATGTAACGCCATTGGGGGTAGGAAGCCTGGAACTATTCTCCGGTAAGAGACATACTTAGATTAACAATTATGGGGTAATTACTTAAGGCAGAGCTAGCCAGTAAGAGACAAACAAGGCCAACAGCTTCATAATTAATATAGCCTCCTGTGTGTTTATTTGGGACTGATGCCGCTCTGGAACTAGGCGGGCGGGAAGGCTCCTCTTAAGGAAAGCTTCTCTTAACAGAATGGTACCAGGAGTGGGGTCATGAATTTCCACGCAAAACAACAAAAGCTTTAAAGGAATTTTAGAAACAGAAGAACGGAGAGAAGCACAGATTTTGGTAACAGCATTTTCTCAGGTGTGCTCTGTTTTGCTAGCAACAAGCCGAGATTCACGTGGCTCGCTTACCGGAGTCTTGCTGACTCGACATTAAAAAAAAAAAAAAAGGTTGTTTTAAGAGACTCTGCTAACGATTGAAAGGTGTGTACGTACAGCTGGAAGTGGCAGCTTTTGCTGGATGTCAACATGGACTGAGGCGGTAAGCTGGAATCACGCTTACGCCCGCCATCTTGAAACGGCAGTTTAAAACAGCCACAGTTTTACAGATAAGACACGTGGCCAAAAAAACATAAAGATTTACAGTAAAGTCAGACTTGGATGAACAAAACCTCTAAAGGTTTACAGTGTGTTTAAAAATATACGTGAGATTGAGAGAAAAAATAAAATGACAAAGTGGTAAATAAATACAAAAGCCGGCTGTGGTGGCACACGCCGGTAGAAATTGCCCCAGAGGCAGAGGCAGGCAGGTTTCCAAAGAGAAACCCTGTCTCAGAAAAAAATAAACAAAAGTAAAAGAAATAGAGTAATAATAATAATAAATAAATAAATAAGCCACACAAAGATGGAAAATACACAGAGAGTCTGGATACTGTACACTATTGTGTTTTTCAGTTTTTTGCTTGCTCAGGAAGGAACTGCTGCTAAAGTACACTTGATTATAAATGCTGCTAAATTAATCCAACTTCTATCTTTTAAAAATGCCTTAACTTCAAAATTTAAGTGTAAGGATATGTTACTTGGAAAAGGAGTTTTTATTTATGTTTCTACAGAAAATGAAAAGCTAAGGATTCCTTCCAGGGTTTTGTGGTTTGACGAACCAAGACCCCCGGAAGCAGTGGACCAGGTGTTCCAACAATCAAAACAGCAAAGATGATGCAGTCTTACAGACCCCGAAAATACGGACTGATACAGGTTTCTGAGTTTTGTCATGATCCCCATGGTATGAACAGCGCCCCCTTCCAGCAGGAAACAGTTTGAAATGAGCGACGTCCCAATTCCCATCTTGTTTATAAATCTTTGTTTTCATTTAAATGGGATTGTTTATAATTGGCTAGTGATCACAGCCAATCCTTTTTAATGGTAAAAAGGGGAATTATGGTATGGGTATTGTTTTTCATTTATTGAGACAAAATCAAGGTCAATTTTGTGATGCTTATATTTCTCCTCTTGATTAAGTATTGTGCTTATACTGATCTTTTACAACGTAATGCATAATTGAATACAGACTATAGATAGTTACTTATAATAGAATTTCTAGTTACATAAGTTAGGTTTCTAGATATACAAAAATATATTTGAGATGGACAGTCTTCAAACCTCTCAAAGACCTTCAGAACATGGCATTTAAAATGGTTTAGAGTTTGTCTTGACAATGAGAAATGTCTGCTCCTGGCAGCACCAATTACGTCTGAGAGGAAGATGGGCATCGAAGAAACTCGTTATAAAGTTTGCTTTCAACATGGCAAGATTAGCCATTTGGGCAAGAAACTGCTCGTGCCTAGATTGTTTGACTGTTGTTGTATCATCTGGACATGCAGGACCCACAGGAAAGTGACTACTGAACTCAGTCTTACAGGGTTCCTGCTTGATGAAGAGTCTACGAGACTTTCTACAGGACAAAGAAAAATGACTGACAGACTGCCAACGCAGATGGACAGTTTGAAATTTCCTGCTTTGCTGAGAAGTGTTCCAGACACATTGTGGCCTATGGTCTGAAGATGGATGCCCCAACGTTACAGAGGAACTTTGGGTGACTGTCCAGGTAGCAAGATGTCTCTGTCAATCCTAGTGATTATATATTATCCTTCTGTGGTCTTTGATGGAGTTAAAGACAGATAGTTATAATTATAGCTTTCCTTAGTTATGATAAAAGATAAACTACATATAGAACTTTAAACTCACAAGGATGGTATGGATGATATTTTCTTTAAATCTTGCTAAAATATTGTAACTATGTTCTTATTTGATAACTGTTCTGTTATATACAATTTGACTGTGTTAAAGTTAAGACCTTTCTTTTTGTT